GTGCACATCTTTCTTTATATTTAGTAATGTCACTTTTATGTATTGCTAATCTGCTTTTTAGCCATTGTGAAGTATGACCTATGTATTTTTCTTCACAATCTATGCAATTTATTTGGTAAACAACATCACTTTGTAATTTTTTAGGGACCTCATCCTTCAGTCGGGAATATAACGATGCAACTGTCTTTGGATTATACGATGATATTTTTACATTAAATTCTTTGAATATACTTTTCAGCTGTGGTGTTATTTTTTGTATATAAGGTAAGGATCCATAAAAACATCTGTGTTCTTGAGTTGAATTGTCAGGTTCGGTAATCAGTTCCGGGGAGGTAAAATATTTTCATTGTTAGTTGTTGAAAATAGCAATTTTTTAATCATGGTCGATGGATATGAGTTTTCAATTAATATTTTATTTAGTTTATCTAAACTCCCTTTCAAGTATTGTTCATGGCATATTTTTATTAATCTATTTCTCATTTCTTTGATGAAATTCAATTTCATGTTTAGAGGATGACTAGAATAGTAGTTTATAAACTTATCAGAACAAGTCGGTTTTCGATACCAATCTAATTTGACAGTTTGATTGTGTCTGTGTAGTTTACAATCAAGGAATGGTACTGAACAATTATTATCTTCAGTTTCAATGGTGAATTGGATATTATTATTATGGTCATTGAAACAATTTAGCAGTTCATCTTTACCTGATATAGGTGTAGCTAAAACAATGTCATCCACAAATTTATATACAAAGGGCAACTTGAACGACAATCTTGGAATACATACATCTAATAGATCTGATTACCGAACCTGACAATTCAACTCAAGAACACAGATGTTTTTATGGATCCTTACCTTATATACAAAAAATAACACCACAGCTGAAAAGTATATTCAAAGAATTTAATGTAAAAATATCATCGTATAATCCAAAGACAGTTGCATCGTTATATTCCCGACTGAAGTGATGTTGTTTACCAAATAAATTGCATAGATTGTGAAGAAAAATACATAGGTCATACTTCACAATGGCTAAAAAGCAGATTAGCAATACATAAAAGTGACATTACTAAATATAAAGAAAGATGTGCACTTGCAGAACATGCACATAAAAAAGACCATAAAATAGATTTCGATGAGGTAGAGATATTGAAAAAAGAACCAAATTATCATAAAAGAACCATGCACGAAATGATACAAATAAAAAAATGCGAAGCCACAATCAATAAAAAAACTGATATAAACAAACTGAGCAATATATACTCATACCTTCTCAATAAAATTTAAGATAATGGCAGTTGGATGATTCGAGATATAACTGAGGCTGATTCCATGACAAATCAACTAAATTGACAAATGACATGTGTCGAATATATGTTATATTGACATTTCATACTAAACTGGTTACAGTGTTGAGAAAATTCTAATGAATCGTTTATTTTGAAAATTTCTTTTACATAATTTAAGTACTTCTTGTACATGTTATCATTATCATAGCTACTGTTGTAGATGTGTCATGTTTATATTTTAACCTCAAATTTGGTAAGGTTATTATAATTTTGCCATTTGAACATGTTCTGTTTGACACTTTTTGTTAATTGTAGAAGTCCTGAAGATGCAATAAAATATTGCGAAAGCTTGACTGAGAAAAAGAGTACAAACAATAATTGCTCAATTGAGTCGAAAACACCCTAACCTCGCTTACTATATATATATATATATATATATATATATATATATATATATATATATATATATATATATATATATATATATATATATATATATATTTTCATCAAAATTTTTCTAGATACTTCATGAGTTTAGAGATTTTGACTTAATTTGACGTGCTCAACAACGTAAAATATATAAATATTTATATATCTTACGTTGTTGAGCACTGTCTTCTTCATATTGCATATAACTGTTGGATGATTTTTGTGTCGTTTTTGTCGTCATAACAAACTCAGAGTTTGTTTTGATACTTCAACTTGTCATACTGTAATGAGAGCTGCGTTCAGTCGATTCTCCTTAATGTTTTTAATTTATAACATAATTATTCATAATCTCACATTCTTCTCCTGATGAAGGAACAATAAAGTCTCGAGAGCTCGAGTAAAGAAAAAAGGGTCTTCTCAGTTTTTGCTTTACTGCAATCCCACAAAATCACAATTTGTATATATATATATATATATATATATATATATATATATATATATATATATATATATATATATATATATATATATATATATATATATATATATATATATATATATATATATATATATATATATATATATATATATATATATATATATATATATATACATATATATATATATATATATATATATATATATATATATATATATATATATATATATATATATATATATATATATATATATTATATATATATATATATATATATATATATATATATATATATATATATATATATATATCTTGAAATTGATTTATTGCCTGTTTAAGATATTTTATTTCGAAAGTTTTTAGCAATAACAGGCTTTTCTTGATATGAAAAACTTTATTTTTGTTGACGTTTCGTTGTTATATTACAACTTTGTCAAAACTAAAAGTTTTGACTTATATTGTCGATTATCCAATATTAAATACGACTTTATGTACATCGATTCTACAGACTTTTATTCATATTCGTATTTACTTACAATAGAAAGAGCTTGATACATATTGTCTTGTTCTGTTCGTCTTGGATGATTTTTCAGGACTCTCTGGTAAATTTCCAATATCAATCTTTGTCGTATTTGCTGGAATTTTTTGCGTCCCATTTTCCACTGTGTTATATGTATCTGAAATATTTTTTGTTGCTTTTTCTACCAGATGTGATTTTTTCATATCATCATCAGCAACTTCAGATATACCGTATGTCAAAAAAATGGAAAATATCACAACATATATGAAATAATCAACACTTCGAGACATCGTAACACTTTGAAAACAATAGTATGCTTGTTTATTGAGATGAAATTGAGGAAGTTTGTATTTATCTTTGAGGTTATCTCAATCACATATTTTTATTGAAATAATAATACATACTTCTGCATATTACAATAACATGAATAATTGCTTTTGTGTTTAGTTACGAGGCTCACAAAAAAGAATGAAACTTGAAATTATAAAATGAGTTATCCTCACACTAACTCATTTTTTAATGCAGTTCTATGAAAATTCTATATTCGAAAATTTCCTTTTGATTTTATTTTTCATTTTATTTACAATATGTGCCGTGAAGGTTGCATAAGCCAATTATAGGGGCTAATTAGATAAATATGAGGCATATGAGAAAATACCCGGCGAACTTCGTAGCACACAACAATTCACAGTCAGTGGATGGAGTTTAACTTTTTACTAAACTCAGTTGATAATTTTACTTATCACAACGGAATGAATACAACCTTATAATCATAACATTGGTATAAATAACACGTGTTTGTTGTCAATATTTAGATAAAAATCGAAGAATAAAAGATTGAAGCTGTCGCCCTGTCACCACTATCCATGATGAGTCATCACTCTTATTCCATCTACACGCAGAACAGGTTTTCATCTACTACGCCGCGCCAGGAGTCTTCTTCAGCAAATACTTATTTTTTCTATTTTATCGCTCTCTATCAGAGCTTTATCTTGTATATAGGTATATATAGCTCTATATAAGTTAATGAGTTTTATTATAAGTAAGTGTCTAGACAATAAAATTATCTAGAGTATTATCTAAAGTATGATAAAAAAATACTTTCAAAAATAATTTATCTAAAAGTATAAAAGATTAAATTTGCTTGGTGTTAAAGCAATAGAAAAATCATCTGATAGAAGTATCACTAAAAGATTATGACATGTTCGCGAGTCCATCCTTCAATATTGAAACATGGTTTTCTATCTCAATTCACGATTTTTGAAGAAAATTTCGAAGTATCTCCAACAGACAAATTTGAAAGAAATGATTATAGTGCCACTGATCGATTTTCTGCGGACTATAAACAGTCAGTATCTCACCACACATGTAGTTCAAAGAATATTGAACCCAAATCGTCAGGAAAGTGGTTGAGAAAATATTGAAACTTTGAAGAATTTAAAACAAAGAAAGGATTACAGAATTTTTCAAGAAATATTCTGTTAACTTTCAATAGCAACAACTTCAATAAATATACTTATATATGTCAAATCATTATCGATTTTCTTTTAGAACTCAACATCAAAGTTTCCCTTTCATTCAAAGTTTCGGGTTCATTTTTACGTGAAATGAACCTGAAATATTAAAAATAGGGTAATATTCGTCATCACTAGATTTCAGACACGTTGCGATAACGACGGAATTCAAATATTCATTAATTCATTCGAGAACTAACAGTTTATAGTTCAAATGTAATTTTTGTAGAAATATGTTACATAGTTAAAACAGTGAATATATTAGTTGTTTTTTCTGTAGAATGGACCGAACTGTCTGCGTGTGCTTGCAGAGGCATCGTCACCTAAAACACATTATTATATAATTAGTTGGCGGAGGCCGAGGTCGACTGTTAAATATACTCAAAAACTAACCTTCTGTTGACTAATTCAAATTCTAATCCTATCCTATAGACACTCAAATATTCGATTCTCTTCATTTCCAAAATATTTTTCTCAATGTATATTCTCTGGTCTCTAAGCTAGAATTTTATTGACAATAGTTTCATAAATGTTGAGTTTCATTCAACATTTATGTAGAATTTTTCACTACTGTGTTACCTTCGATTGAATCCGATTATTTGATGTCTGGTTACAGATGAATTTAATTCACCTTGAAATTTCAATTGAATAATCATTAATCAAGGTATACATGCTGTTTCAAATAGACGCGGCAATATTCAAGCCAGTGATTCAAAGATAATTATAGAACCGGAAATGTATTTTTTCCGAAAAATGATCTCGAATACATGAAGCCGAATGGTTAGAAAAATTGTATAATGTAAGTGTTAGACCTCGGTAGCTTAGCGGTCCAACGCAGTGGGATGTTAACCTGAAGAGCTGGGTTCGAATCCCAGTCGAGTTCGAAAACTTTTGAAAATGTAGTTTCAATTCTCAAATTTGTAGATTTTTATTGCTGAAGAAGGAGGGAAAAACCTCTGAATCATTCAGAAAAATAAATAATATTTATAACAGTCATAATCATACTCAGTATAACCAAAAACTAATTTGAATTTCTATATATACAACTGGGTAACAAACTAACACATTAATATAATAATAAATAAGGAGGAGATATTGCATCGTCCAAAGCAGTGGGGCGTAAACCTGAAGACCTGGGTTCGAATCCCAGTCGAGTTCGAAAACTTTTGAAAAATGTAATTTCAATTCTCAAATTTGTAGATTTTATTGCTGAAGAAGAGGGAAAAACCTCTGAATCATTCAGAAAAATAAATAATATTTATAACAGTCATAATCATACTCAGTATAACCAAAGACTAATTTGAATTTCTATATATACATCTGGGTAACAAACTAACACATAAATATATATATATATATATATATATATATATATATATATATATATATATATATATATATATATATATATACCTACATCTGACATAAGTGGTTAAACTGACAAAAAACAATACAGAAGTCATTCAATAATCGATTACAAATGCAGGAAAGTTATTTTAAGAATAAGTATGCAGATAATAATGTAAACATGAAAAATATAATAAAGTGACGTTTTTCATGACATAGAACATTATTGATAATAGGTTAATCTAACTGTTCATAGGACGTCTGAACCTTGGTCTCAGCTATTTTTTCGCCTAACCACATCCAACGAATAGCTATATATTAACATTCTCAATATATTTATATATATATATATATATATATATATATATATATATATATATATATATATATATATATATATATATATATATATATATATATATATATATATATATATATATATATATATATATATATATATATATATATATATATTAAGGTAAAGGGAATAATCGGTCTGGTCAAGTGTTTATGTTTATGTTATGCTAAAGTGTTTACATTTACCCATAACAATTCTCAATATCTCGACACTTTTTGTGTTTTCTTCAGAAGTCAAACAGGCTGCAAAGTATTGACTACAATGACCAATTTGAATATATAAAAAATATATAAATCTAGTCACAATTACAGTTTATGCTATGATAATAACAGAACTACCATAATTTAACAAACGCCGCTTATTTTGTTTTAACTTTTACCCTACATATAGCTAAACTGAATGGTCCGAAATTCAACACCGTAGAAAGCTGAAGTTGGGCCACTTGTGTGTGGGGTGTCAATGATTTACTCGTAAACTTCAAACCATTGGCACATGAAAATGATTTGATTTGTTCTATTCTAAAATATTGTTATAGATGATGCTTAATCTTTCAATATCTGATCTGGCGTTAATCGTATTGTCTGTGTTATGTATATTTGTCATTTCCAAAATAATCCTTTTTACTCCCCCTATCTAAAATTTTAATATTTTCGTAATCAAAACTGTAATCATAGTGGGATAATACACAATATCTTTCTCCAATACGACTATCGCTTTTATGTTGTGTGACCCTTTGTTTTAAATTTTGTTTAGTTGTATGTAGCATTTATCACACTGAAGACATGGTATTTTGTAAATGACTTTTCAATTCCGCAAAACTGGAGTGCGTTCTTTGGTTTTCGAGACAAATTATTTTATAGTTTTTGTATTGTACCTACTTCGCTTTTATTATAATTTTTTGAAGATATTTTTTTGATAAATGAAGATAATTTTTTTAGTGGCAGCTGAAAGCGATATTTTAGACGAAACATGCAAAATAAACCGATCAAACCTTCCAGAACAAAAGCTCAGGAATCATCTATTTTGTGATTACACTGGATATGACCTCCGTCCTGTTAAAGATAGTAAAACAGCCACAAACCTCACGATGAAGCTTCTGGTTAAATATTTCACCTACGTAAGTAACCACAACGACCAATTCAACAATTATTCAATTCAAATTTTCATATATGAAGACGATTCGAATATTTATGCGGTTTTATAAATTTGGTAGATGATTTTCATATATTTTTCCATCTGGGCAGCTATCCAAGTAGCTTTCATTTACTTATTTCATAAGTTATTATACAGGTAACTCATTTTGTAGCCAAGATGTAAGGATGCAATCAATAGCTCTTGATAGGAGCGAAACAATTTCATATATTTCTGGTATTTTAGAGTTTTTTGTCAGTTCAACTCGGAATGAAAGATAATGAGCTGTTCACTCATATGAACTTCTCATTTTTTTATTTTGAAAGTTGAAGCAAGAGTCTAATAAAATCTCGTATTCTTGTCCCAAGACACCTAAAGCCAACCATCTCAAATTTGAAAATGCAAAATTTGTAATTTTTGCAAATATCCCTTTTTTCATGGGTATAATGCCATCTGCATCTATTATGAATGTTATAGAGAATAAAAAAGGTACTTTGTCTAAAACATTTTTTTAGATCAATCTAAAAAATACAATTATGGATAATTTGAATTTGTTGATTATAAATACCTACAAGTTTTCAATAATATTTTTCGTTAGTCAAATAAAATCTTAATTTTATTATATTCCAATTGAAGACTGCTCTACGCTGAGCATTTATTGGAATATACTTACATTTCAAGAAGTGGAAAATTATATCCGCTTTCTGCAGAACATCTGGAGTTTGAAATTTCTTCAAGTTTGAAAGTTTATTATTTTGGCAACGATAGACGAACTATCTAAAGAACCCATCATTTATTACACCCCTCATAAACCTTCATAGAAATCTTCAGCTCATTATGTTCCATTTCGAGGTGAACCTCTTTTTGTCTTATATGACTGGACTACTATAACTAACTCGTATCAAACAAATACTAATCCAATGAAAATTACATTCTGAAGAACAATCTACTATAAGTTCGGACATGGCATGTTAACAATGTTAAGTAAAATAAAGTTCGAGAGTTCTAATATCTAACATAGATATCACGAAGAATACTCGTACTTCAGATATAATGGAGAATATAATCGAGTTGTTTGAAGATTTCATTTTTCCTCCACATATAACCCCTGTGAAATAGACCTTCCACCAATGCCCAGGTTGAATCAAGAAAAAAATTTTGTTTTTACTTAAGTTAGCCTTGTATATTGTTCAATATCGTCAATTAAAATTGCATACTCAGTGTTGATGCTTACCTTAGCAACACACAATAAACATTCAATGCCTAACAATAATTTATTATGAAAATAATCATATGTCAGAACAATAAATATCATTCTCTCGTCAATAATAGATGATTCAGAGATTCACTTGATAGTCATTATTCTGAATAAGAATTAATCTACAATTAGCAAACATATTCAATAAATGCTGGTATTCATATACTCGTATATTGTTCATCCTTCAGTTTTAAATGATTAATTATAGTTAACCACATTTCGGAGTTTCTATCAGAGATATAATATACTCATATAATAATAATAATAATAATAATAATATAATTTTATTGAAAAACATTCCTTACATAGTAAAATTACATTCATTTCAATTAATAAATAATTACAACTAAGAGAAATGCTCAGTTTGGAGTCTGATCTTCCATTCAGCCCTCGAGCAAAAATATTGGTTCAAACAAAAATCTTGGTTAAATTCATATTTACAATAATATACAATTTTGATTGAAAAGAAAAGAAAATAAAAATTTCCTCAGAGATATTAAACATTTGAGACAATTTCACATGGTGAAGAACATTTTTGTTAAAAAAATATACAAATATATGATACAAAAATTTGATTCATACATTATTGCCTACATCCGAATCATCAAAGTACTCTGACACACTATAATATACCTTTGTTAAGAGCAGAGATTTAACTCTCCTCTTAAACATATGAGCTTTCAGTACTTTCAAATTCGATGGTAAATGGTTGAAAATTTTGAAGCTCTGACAATAGAGTGCTCAAATTTGGCTGTTTTATGTATAGGAATAAGTAGCACATCCCTGTTTCTTAAAAGAGTATCGCTTCAGATATTTTCTCAGGTGATGTTATTCGATTTCAAAAAATGAGTATTCCATCTAACATTTATCCCTTGAAGGATAGTGAAGAGGTATTACATCGTACAAGTTCACATTTCTAGCTCTACTATAATATTCTTTTGGTTAATTTGGATTTTTCGAATGAATGTTTCATTGCTCATTGTCTCAAATATTTCATTCAGTGCCATGGGCACAAATTATTCATTTCTTTAAAAAATATCGCCGAATAAGCCCCTGAAATACGGGAACAATCGCAACCTATTGATATTTGAAAACATCATATGATAACAATTGTCAAATAGACATTGCAATTCAGTAGATAGCTACCTACGCTACAGGTATAAAAGAGATGTGAAAGTTCGAAGATTACTGTGTATGATCTGAGAGATATTTTCTACTGATTCCTATAGATAAAATTGTGAAGTATTCATTAACTCATGGTATTTCACTTGGAGTCATAAGAAGATGCTTGGGGATTGAAATCGTTGCCTCACTTCGATGGGCGTGGTGTGACTGACGAGTTCCTTGCAGAACGAAACATATGCCTCGCACTTCCATCAGGTGTGCCATCAATTTCAATATTCCTCTAACATTTATCCCTTGAAGGATAGTGGATCCACATCGTACACGTTCAAATTTCTAATTAAATTGAATTTTTCAAAACAATGTTCTATTGTTCATTTTCTCTCTCTCTCTCTCTCTCTCTATATATATATATATATATATATATATATATATATATATATATATATATATATATATATATATATATATATATATATATATATATATATATATATATATATAAACAAAAGCAGAATTCTAGGTATAGCCGCAACTCAATTGGAAGCATCCGTTGACACATGTTTCGAGCTTATTGGCTCTCCTCAGAACGGTGTAGCCAACTTTTTGGTGTACGAAACTGGAGATGGAATCAACAACCAAAGAACACACCTGTAAAGGAAGTCTCT